TCTCTCTCTCCATATTAAACATGCATTAATTTTAGGGATATGAGATTTCTCACATGTTCATAATTTTCTCTCTCCATATTAAACATGCATTGATTTAGGGCTAAATAATCGCAAGAAAAAGAAAAATAGAAAAAAAAAATAAAAACCCAATTTCAAAATTTCAAACGGTTAATCGACATCTTGAATTAAAAAAATTAAAAAAAACTCGCCCAATCGCCAAATATATGTTTAGATATACTGTATATATACAATATATAAACATGATCAGACAAGACTTAATATTAACCTTATAGTTATACATAAAATAAATAATATATAAACAATTCTGAAACGAGATAAAACATAATACACAATTCTGAATGATTGCAAAATCCAAATCAAATGTAATTATACATAAGATGAACAACATAACCACCAAATATAAGTTCAAATATAGTGTATATATACATCAGATAAACATGGTCTGGCAGTTCTCTAATATTAACCGTGTAGTTGGATAAACATAATACACATTGACATAAAAAAAGTGAGATTCTAAAAATATATGACATCTAAATAACATTAAATACATAAACTTCCACCGGTGCTACAGAATGGTCGAGTTTCCGCCAATCGCACCACTTTCACACTGCTGCTGGGTCGAGCAACCGCGCACTCATGTCAGGCAAGCATCAACCTTCGAGAGCCTCCGTCAGTGAGGGTCTCAGGCGTTGCGCTGCCGCTCGTAGCTCGACCGAACTGGACCTCCATATATCCGAAATTGAAAGGCAATTTCTAAAAAAGAAGAGAGAGAGAGAGAGAGAGAGAGAGAGAGAGAGTTAACTTCGGTTGTCGTGGGAGTCGGTTTCTTGGAACCTTTCGAATCTCGAATTTTATAAAATTGAAGCTTCTTTTGGATGATCTTACGCTCGAATGCTTGAAATTGAGATGTTCAACGAGATCGGTAGCGTATTAATCTTTCTTCGTTTTCACTGTTGACGGATTTTGCCTCATTTTTCTTTTTCTTGGCCATTGAAAATTTATCGAGTCTGTAGTGATTTTCTTTGGTTTTTAGGGAAGATAAGTTCTTGCAATTTTTCTTGTGAAGATGTTACACGACAACCGAGGTTGTGAGAGAGAAGAGCTATATTTTTTATTAATTTAGTGTTGTGTGTGCAAGGAAAGGGAATCTGAGAAAGAGAGAAGGGAATCTGAGAAAGAGAAAGAGAGAAGTGCAAGGAAAGAGAGAAGAGCAATATTTTTTCCCGATTATCATGCAATGAGATAATAACCACCCTCCTTATTTACAATTTTCCTTAATTAAATACTTAGTTCGTAATTTTGATGAAAAGATGAATACATCGTATTATTAATATTATTTAGTAAATTAAGAGTAAGGGTCGTAATTTTCTCAAGAAAATAGTGGGCTGAAGGCCCACTACTAGCTGCCGCTCGATTAGGATGTTGGATAAGAGATAATATAAAAGGGGCTACAAAACATATGTATTTGGGTGCACGTTTCAAACGAATGGATATCATATGATGAGTTTTGGGCTTGGGCCCCCAGGGCATGAACTTCTAATGGTATGAATCAAACAAGTTTTATTTATTTATTTATTTATTTATTTATTTATTTATTGTGAACAAAAACTCGTGATAATTTTTTTTTTTCCAATTCAAATAAAAAATAAAATATAGAGAGATACTACAGTCTTGTTACATAACCTTCTACAAGCATTTGTAACCGTTAGATCATCATGTAATCGTCGGAGATAGTTGATCTAACGGTTACAAACCCCGATGGAGTGATCCCGTAACAAGGATCGTAAAAATACATACGCGAATCTCAAGCATGTTTGCGCATGCATATGTTAGTTGTTGTTGTTGTTGTTTTTTTTTTTTTTTAAACGTGAATAATTTTTTGCCAATGTCTTAAATTTGAGAAAGACTAGAGTCCGTCACGGAATATTTCCGTGAGGATTTGTTTTCACTTCTGAATATTTAACATATACAACAGAACATAGTCATAAGAAGCTAAGATTGAAATCACTCACAACGAATCTTATGACATTAAATTAAATGGAAAAATTGCACCATTAGTCCACTAACTTTTCCCTAGTTGCACTTTCGTCCTTTATTTGTTTCCGGTTTATAAATGGTACACTAACTTTTTTTTTTGGCAATTTTGGTCCAAAATCACATTCCGGTGACCATTTTGCTGATGTGGCTCCCGGAACAGCTGATGTGGCGCTTAGTCATCCCGGAATTTCTTGTCAGCTCCTGATGTGTTACAAGTTGGACCCATCAATTTTGACACTAGGCAAAAATAATATTAAAAAAGTAGAAAAGAAAAAACAAAAAAAAAATATAAAATCCACATCATATTTCATTCTGATTTCGATTTTTTATCCCCAATTCATTTTTTATTATTTATTTTGTTTAATGAAATATGATGTAGATTTTATATTTTTTTTTGTTTTTTTTCTACTTTTTTAATATTATTTTTGCCTAGTGTCAAAATTGATGGGCCCAACTTGTAACACATCAGGAGCTGACAAGAAATTCTGGGATGACTAAGCGCCACATCAGCTGCTCCGGGAGCCACATCAACAAAATGGTCACTGGAATGTGATTTTGGACTAAAATTGCCAAAAAAAAAAAGTTAGTGTACCATTTATAAACCGGAAACAAATAAAGGACGAAAGTGCAACTAGGGGAAAGTTAGTGGACTAATGGTGCAATTTTTCCAAATTAAATTGATGGTCTAAAGTTTTGGCGAATAATTTATTGACATTATTCCATTCATTAAAATTTGAACTTCCAAAAGTGATCAGTGTGAACATATCGAAAAAATTATTTGATTCATCATTCATATTAATATTCCACTCATCAAGCTGAAATCATACGAAAAATTGTGAGCAATCGCTGCAGTTAAAATTGACTGGATGAGTTTAATAAGAAAATAATATATTTCATATACGTAACAACCTTTTGTTAATGGGTTAAGGTGAATACTGGCGCTTTTCAGAGCAGTAC